TGTCCTGTCACTGCAGTTCCTGATGAAAAGTCCCTCTCCAGCTTCCCCGGAGCCGCTCCATATCCTGGAAGCTGCTGTGAGGTCTCCAAACAACCATTTTTTCTCCTATCCTCTTCCTATTTTTCTGCTCTTTTATACAGAGAGGGCAAATATCACTCCCAGAGGTGCCAGAAACTCCAATTTGAATTGATTTACATCAGGAATGCTGTGATTTTATTTCAGTGAACACCTTGGAGACAGGAGAATCCCAACACTGGGAAAAACCACCAGGAAAAGGTGAAAGGAGCGGCAAAACCCCCTGGATCCACCAGTGAACAAACAGCTCAACACCAGGAGGTTGCAGGGTCACAAACTACAGATTTTATTGTTTGGTTTTTTGTTTTTTTTTTCCAGAAAGATCAAAACGAAACAGTGATGAAAAGAGTGAAACATCCCACACACCAAGAGGAGGACGAAGAGCAGCGCCCAGTGCTCGCGGGAGGAACTCGCTGGGCCGCGGCTTCAGGGCACATCACAAGGATGAGGTGAAGGAAGGCAGGAGAAGAAGAGGAGGAGTTCTACAGCTTCTAAGCACAGGAGGAGGAGCATTCGGGGTGTTATCCATATCCAAATCCGTATCCAAGAGGGGACGAGCCGGGTGGGTTTAGTTGCCGCCGCAGCAGCCGCCGCCGTTGCTCCCGCCACAGCAGCCGCCGTTGTTGTTGCTGGTGATGGTGTAGCAGCAGGGCATGGACATGCAGCAGGACTGCATGGGCATGCAGCAGGGGGTGCAGCAGGGGGTGCAGCAGGGGCTGCAGCACTGCATGGGGCTGCAGCACATAGGCCTCTTGCAGGTCTTGGGGCTGCTGTAGCAGCACATGGTGTAGCTACTTCCGCCACCGCAGCATCCGTTGGGCATCTTGGTGATGGGAGTGGAGGCGAGGCTGGAAGGGAAAGAGAGAGTTTGTCTTTTTCTCTGCTTGAATCTCCCAGAGGCTGAGGCAGCTTAAAGCTTTCTTATCCCCAAATCCATCCCAAACTGGCCAGGAAGGTGCCTGGTGTCCTGAATCCCAGGACTGACTCCTGTGCTTCAGGCGTTTTGTCCAGCACTGGTTCCGCCAGAGAGAATCCACCTGGGCGCAGCCCAAAACCGATCTCTGGTCCCCAAAACCAATCTGTGATCCCAAAATCTTCTTCGGTGTCCAGTCCCAAACCAGACAGCCCAGAAAACCCTGGAGAAACCCAGGGAAACAGAGAATCCCAAAGTAAAGACAAGTAGCAAAGTCCAACTTACCCTGCTGAGCAGTGGAGAGAGGAGAGGAGAAGTGGAGATGATCGAATGAAGACCCCTGGGCTGGGGGGAGCCTTTTATACTCTCCAAAGCTTCCTCCCCTGGAAATGAGGCATCCCTTGGCAATTCCGACCCTGTGGATCACCCGGGGTACCCCCTCACGTGCCTTCCTCCCCCGGTGTTTAATCTCTGCCTCTTTCTGTTTGCTCACCACCTCAATTGTGCCCCATAATTACTCCTCCAGAGGAAACAACAGATGCAAATTTTCTAATGGATTTGCGTTAATGGCACCGGAGGGAGGGAGCTCTGAGGTATTCCCACCCCTTCCCAAGGAATGACCTTGGGACACAGGGACGCTTAACAATGTGCCTGGGGGGAGTCAGGTGCTGAAGCAGTGGGGCAACCATGCCTGGAACTTGGAGTTGTCATTGCTCATGTGTCCCCTCTGCCCTTGGCTGGGATCTCTGGGGGCCGGTGGAAATTTTTGGTCAACGGGAATAATTTATTTTTTTTTTCCTGCCTCTGTGGTCAAAATTTAGGCTGAAATTTGCCCTTTCTCAGTCTTGCTCTTGGGCCTCCCTTCAGGGTGCTGGGTCCTCACACTCCCTGTTCTGTAATTTTTGTTGTATTAAGATTTGTTTTCATTTTCATCCATGGAATGGATGGGCTGAGTCTAAACGAAGCAGCTTTCAAAAGCAGCAGTGCGTGTGTGAGGGTTTTTCCCTGTGTTGGTTCCACACATTCCCATTTTCTGAGATTATCCCAAAGGTTTCCGGGACTAAGGAGACTTGTGGTGATCACATTTGAGTGTTCACGTGAGGAACTGCGGCCACACGCCGAGCAGGGACAGCTCCACGCCAGAAGATGTTGGTGGGGCTTCCATGTGATGAGAGGGGACTCCGGTAAAAGATGGGAATTCCAGGATGCTGAGGCAGCACCAATTCATGGCAAAAAGAGGCTGCCATCACGTCCAGGAGACTCTGACTGTGAGGTTGACGTGGTGGCAGGTGATCCCTGGTGACTGGGACAGGATCTGCCTTTCCAGGATGTGACCACGACCTCTTGTGACGTTGGGTGTCCCCTCTGGAATTGTCCCCAGGGGAGGACATTGTTTTAGTCACTCAATGACAACCAGGAGTTGCCTGCAGGAAAGCGACGTCCTCCCTGTGTAAACCCTCAAACATCTCCCTTGAATCAATCATTCATCGCATTTTTATCGGGCTTTATTGCTGTCCTGTTGGCCAAGATGATCCTGGTATTGTAGTCATAGAAATATGGAATTATTTGGGGTTGGAAGAAACCCCAAAATCATCCTGTCCAACCCTCCTGGATGGGCAGGGACAACTTCCACTATCCCAGGTTGCTTCAAGCCCCATCCATCCTGGTCTTGGACACATCCAGGGACGGGACACCCATGGAATATCCTGTGCCAGGGATTACCACCCTCGCTGGGAAGGATTTCTTCCCAATGTCCCATCCAAACCTGCCTCTTCTCCAGGCTGAGCCACCCCACCGCTGGCAGCATTTAGAGCATTTTCCCTGCTGTTCAACGCCATTTAACCTGCTCTTGGGAACCTCCACTCAAAGTTCCTTTTATAGGCCACGCCCCATCCTGCGATGTTTTTGGAAACTTCCACGGTGGTCCTGGGAGTTTGAGATTTTTGGGAATCTGCTCCTGCAGCTTTTCCAGTGTGGGGTAAGGCCACGTTGGATGGAGCTCTGGCCTAGCTGCAGGTGTCCCTGTCCATGGCAGGGGTGTTGGAACGAGGTAGTTTTTGACATCCCTTCTGACCCAACCCATCCCGTGATTCTGTGATTCAAAGACGGAATGAATATTCACAAGATTCCTTAAAGAGAAAGCTCTTTATTGAATGTTTTGATCTGGGATATCCTCCTGCCTGATTTACAATACATAAAAAACCTCCTGAAGACCCAAGAATGTTTTTAGAGAAGTCAAACACGTAGGGAAGATGATTTTAATGCAGATGTCGCGCGTGAAGGTTGGAGGAAGCAAATCAAGCCAGAGCTCCGGGCATTTTCTCCAGACCTGCAATTCCGATCTGAGTCCTGAATTTTAATAGCAAAGAAAGTCCCAGCCAGGGAGGGAAGGTATCGTTGACTCATGGGTTTGCTATTTTAGGAATGAGGCTTTTAGGTTGGATGCCAACCCTGGGTTTCATTCCCGGCTCGGAACGCGTTGGGGAAACGCTCTGCTCCCATAACAATTCAACGATTTCTGGGGGTTTCTAAGCTTTTATTTTTGGAAGATGGTGGCGGGAAGAAGATGCTGCCTGCTGTCCAGTGAGTAGTGAATTCCTCCTGGTATTCCTGTTGGAATGTCCCTTCTGAGGCCAGGGGTGAGCTCCTGTGCATCTCAGAGCTGTCCACAGCTTCCTCCCGAGGGGCAGCTCCCATCTCTGCTCCAGGACCAGGGGCAGGACCTCAGGGAATGGCTGAAGCTGTGCCAGGGAAGCTCTAGGTTGGATATTTCTGGAAAGTTCTTCCCCCAGAGGGCGGTGGGGCCCTCAGAAGGCTCCCCAAGGAATGGGCTCTGCCCCAAGGCTGCCGGAGCTCCAGGAGCATTTGGATAACGCTCTCAAGGACAGGGCGGGATTTTGGGGTGTCTCTGGAGGGGCAGGAGTTGGGCTCTGTGATCCTGGTGGATCCCTTCCAAGTCAGGATATCCAAGGGGTCTCTGATTTATGGAGTGCTGTGTTTTCAGATGGTGCAGTTATGCCTCCTTGCTCAGTCCTTGCCCTTTGAGTTTTAATTACTTCAGCTTTCTGTTCTGTAGTAAAATCTGAGTGAGGTGAATGCTCAGGAAGGGCAAGGAGGAATGAAGGAATGGTTTGGGCTGGAAAGGACTTTAAAGCTCATTCCGTTCCTCCCCTTGCCATGAGACACCTCCCACTGTCCCAGGCTGTTCCAAACCCTTCAGCCTGGCCCTTGGACAATTCCAGTGATCCAGGGGCACCCACAGCTCCTCTGGGCACCCATTCCAGAGGATCAGGAATGCTCTGCTTGCTTCAGACATGACTTCATGTGTGCCAAGAGCCTGGAGAGTTCTCTGTCTCTCAAATGTGTGGACTTTGGCCAAAGGCACAGATGGTGCCAGAATGAGGACAAACTCTGGGCAAGGTGACAAATCCTGGGCAAGGTGACAAGTCCCGGGCAAGATGGAAAATTCTGGGCAAGGTGGAAAATTCTGGGCAAGATGACAAGTCCTGGACAAGGTGATAAGTCCTGGGCAAGATGGAAAATGCTGGGCAAAGTGGAAAATTCTGGACAAGGTGATAAATCCTGGGCAAGATGGAAAATTCTGGGCAAAGTGACAAATTAAGGGCAAAGCCAAGTAAGAACGACCAAAAGACCAAATGTTGTGTTTTGCTTAATGCCAAGTTTTATTGTCTACAAGTCAAGAGAGGAAATGAGGAGCGGTCACAGTGACACCAAAGGTTTCCCAAACACCAAGAGGAGAATTAACACCCCACTAATATCTAATGCCTTATACAATGGGGGATAAATTCAGGCCTACTCAAGACAGTCAATAATTAATTAAAGACAGCAGTAACTAAAGACAATTGATAAATAAGGGACAGAAAGAAGCAGCAGCTTAAGCTTGGAAAGAAGAAGAAAACCGCTACGAATTGTCTCCATCACCATGAGAACCAGAGGCAAATGAGGAGCTTTTCACCTCCTTGTGCCCATTCTCAGAGCCACCTGGGGCAGTTTAGCAGGTCTTCCTGAGGCTGGCACAGCACTGCTGGATGGGGATGCAGGGGGTGCAGTACTTCCTCACGGGGGTGCAGCAAACCACCACGGGCTTCTTCACCACGCAGCAGGGAGAGCAGCAGGGCCGTGGGACACAGCACACGGACTTGTTGCACACCTTGGTGCAGCACACGGACTGGCACGGGTCACAGCAGGACTGGCACGGGTCACAGCAGGACTGGCACGGGTCACAGCAAGGCTTCTGGCATGGATCACAACAGGTCTGGCACGGATCACAGCAGGGCTTCTGGCACGGGTCACAGCAGCTCTGGCACGGGTCACAGCAGGACTGGCACGGGTCACAGCAAGGCTTCTGGCACGGGTCACAACAGGTCTGGCATGGATCACAGCAGGGCTTCTGGCATGGATCACAACAGGTCTGGCATGGATCACAGCAGGGCTTCTGGCATGGATCACAACAGGTCTGGCATGGATCACAACAGGGCTTCTGGCACGGGTCACAGCAGCTCTGGCACGGGTCACAGCAAGGCTTCTGGCATGGATCACAGCAGCTCTGGCACGGGTCACAGCAAGGCTTCTGGCACGGGTCACAACAGGTCTGGCACGGGTCACAGCAAGGCTTCTGGCATGGATCACAGCAGGTCTGGCACGGGTCACAGCAGACAGTCTTGCATGGCTCACAGCAGGGCTTCTGGCACGGGTCACAGCAGCTCTGGCACGGGTCACAGCAGGACTGGCACGGGTCACAGCAAGGCTTCTGGCACGGGTCACAGCAGGTCTGGCATGGATCACAACAGGGCTTCTGGCACGGGTCACAGCAGCTCTGGCACGGGTCACAGCAAGGCTTCTGGCATGGATCACAGCAGGTCTGGCACGGGTCACAGCAGACAGTCTTGCATGGCTCGCAACAGGGCTTCTGGCATGGGTCACAGCAAGACTGGCATGGGTCACAGCAGGGCTTCTGGCATGGATCACAGCAGGACTGGCACGGGTCACAGCAGGACTGGCACGGGTCACAGCAAGGCTTCTGGCATGGGTCACAGCAAGACTGGCACGGGTCACAGCAGCAGGACTGCTGGCACGGGGAGCAGCACACGGTCTTGCAGGGACTGCAGCACACGGTCTTGCATGGGCTGCAGCACACAGTCTTGCATGGGCTGCAGCACACAGTCTTGCAGGGGCTGCAGCACACGGTCTTGCATGGGCTGCAGCACACAGTCTTGCAGGGGGTGCAGCACACGGTCTTGCTCTTCACGACAGAGCAGCATCCCGTGGAACAGCATCCAGTGGAGCACATGGTGTTGGGAGAGGAGTGAAGGGTGGCTGGAGCGAGGACCTGGAACACAAAGGACTTTGAGATTCAACCCATCTTTCCACCCTGCCCAGGCCCTCATCCCACCCCTTTTCCTATTTTTTTTGTCTTGAGTTGGAAACCCAAGATCCTCGCAGGAATCGAAGCGACTCCTGCAGTGTCCCAGAGATATTTGAACTCTCCTGGGAGGTGCCTGTTCTGTGCTCCTCCCTGAATTTCCACCCCAATCAGCTCATTTTCCACTGTGCTCTGTCTGTCTTTTCCAAGAGGCAACAGATCAACAGTCTCAGAAAAATCTGGATTTCTGGGAGAGCTGTAGATCATGGAACCCTGTAAACGCTAAAACCATGGAATCGCAAAACCCACGGAACCGCAAAGCCATGGAACCTTAAACCCATGGATCCATAAACCCTTGGAATCAAAAAGCCTTGGAACCATAAATCCGCGGAATCACAAAGCCATGGAACCAAAAACCCATGGAACCACAAAGCCAAAGAACATTTTGGGTCCGAAGACACCTTTGAAGGTTCATCCATCCCACCACCCTGCAGAGATCACACACAGCGACCCGGCCTCAGTCCACCTCTTGCCCAAAGCCAAAGAACCAAGAGAACCAAGGATCTCTGGTAGGAAGCACTCACCGTTCTTGTTCTTGCTGAGAGCTGAAGCTGTGTGAGGAGCAGAGGCACCTGGAGACCTTTTTATTGAGGTCGGAGTTGTCCTGCCGGACATGAGGTACCCCCCAGCAATCCGTGATTTACGCACTAAGCCTGTACTTATTCACCCAATGGGCCTTCATGTGTTTAGTCTTTGCCTCGTGGCTTTTGACCAACCCCTCAATTTTGGGTTATTATCAATTTGTTGTGTGAATTTTTTACAATTTTTTAATGTCGAGTTAATTCTTGTGGGACGCTCGGAGGCGTTGTTTCTGCCCGCTTTGCATATGGTAAGGCTGCTGCGTGGAGATGATTAATTGACATAAAAATCCTAATTAAGATTGAGGTGCAGTGGATTCCAGAGGCGTGCAGAAGCTTCTGGACGTCAGTTGCTCCTTGATATGATTTTTAAAATAGAATTCCAGGAAGTGCAGTTCCATGGTCCCGTGCTTTGCGTCTGAATGCAGAAATGGTGGAGCCCAAAGTCCTTCTCTGGGGTCACCAGAAGGGCAAACCCAGAAAGTTCTTGATGTCCCTTCCCTTGCATCCCATCCGTGCATGGGAAAACATCTGGGAATAGGATCATGGAATACCCCAGGCTGGAAGGGACCCACAGGCACCATCCAGACCAACCCCTGGCCCTGCACAGCCCCAAAGACCCACCCTGTGCCTGAGGTCGTTGTCCAAACTCTCCTTGAGCTCTCTCAGGCTCAAGGCCTTGCCAATATCAAACATTTTCACTTGCAAATTCATTGTGGAAATTTGGGATTGGTTTTGGGTCAAATCGGAGATCGCGGTTTTCCAATTCCTCTTTGGCGCATTTAAATAAAAACAAAATGCAAAATGGCTCTGGAAGTTTTGCATCTTGTTTATGCTCGGCATGACTTGATCTGCGAAATTCCTATTCAATTCTTTTCAGATTCCAAGATGCCCTGGAGTAATGGAAGAGCCACCCACGGATGCTAATTCTGGAAAAACTCCGTGCTCAGCTCCCAGTCACCCGCTGGCAGCGATTAGCGCCGATGCTAATGATCACGTTGTGATCAGCCATTAATGATGGATGCTAATATCTGTTTTGCATAAAAGCCTCCATGTGATGTGTCCTGAGCATCTCGAGGATCTCAAATTAAACCACGACTTTATTAAAAAATGATCTCTGTCCCGTCAAGGGAAATGTTTGGTGTCTGAGGTCACCCCTGGGGTGGAAATGGGCGCTGAGCACCGAAGGACCCCCTGCATCCCTGGAGACCCCTCACTTCTGCTGGGTGAGGGAGGGGAGATTTAGGCTGTTTTCTCATCCAGTTCTGGATGTTGAGGACACTTTGGGCCACCAGAACCTTCAGTCTGGCTCCTGGTGACACAAATCCTCTGTTTCCCCTCAGTTCCGCTCTTGATGTTGGGCCACGTCACAATTGGAGGAGCTGCTCCTCCTTCTAGGAATTCACAGGACCATGAAGTCACCACTTCTCCGGGCAAGGCCATCCCAAGGTCAACGTTCCAGTTCCCTCGGAGCTTAATTTCCTATTGGCTTCAGCTGCGTTAATGACCTTGAGCCGGGTGCCGCCCATTATCTCCTAATTAGTGATTGACATTTGCAGCGGCGGAGCCCCCGCGGCTCGAGGTGATTCCGGAGACTCCAGAGAAATTCCAGCATCAGAAATGTGGGATATCCTGAGCAGGGAGGTGATGGAAGAGGGTTTGGCCAAAATTAGGCCGTTCTATGTTGACTTTGTATGGGTTTGGTGCATGGTTTCATCCAGTGAGCCAAAAAATTCCCATTGTCCCAGTTGGATGTGAACACCAGAGGAGTTTAAAGCTCTGCAAGGTGCATTCGTAGATCCAACAGTGATTTTACAGAGGAAAATATTCAAATTAGGGCCATAAAAATGTCTCAATCATCTTTTGCTTTGAGTGAAAGCACTGTGCAGGCTCTGAAAGGTGCCCAGAGGAGCAGAGCTCCATTTGTTTGGATTGAAGATACAGGAAAGCAATCCTGAGGCAAATTCCTCCCCATTAATTCCTGGGGGTTTCCTCACAGTTTGTCCGGGTTGTGGAATCCATGGTGTCGTCATTTGAATTTAATTTTTAATTTGTTTTACTTTTTAAATTTGTTTATACTAAAGTGTAAACAACAGAAATTAATAAGCCTGAAGTTATTTGATGTGTCCTTAGCAGAGCAGAAATGTCCCTTCAGGCCACCTGGAAAAGAGGATTTCTCTTGCCAAACGTTTGTGGTTCTTCGAGGCCTTCCCACCCTCACAGGGAACAATTCCTTCATTTTATCCCACCTAAAACTCCTCTCCATCACTCTGAAATAATTTCCTGTGTCCTGTTCCTGCAGTTCCTGAGGAAAAGTCCCTCTCCAGCTTCCCTGGCGTCCCTGTAGATCCTGGGAGAGGCTCTGAGGTCTCCACAGGCTCAACATTCCCAACATTCCCAGCCTGGATCCATGGGGAAAAGGCTCCTTATCAACTTTATGGCTTTCTCTGGATTTGGAAAATGAAATAAAACGTGCCGTGGTCAGTGAGGGAGGAGGGAATTGGAAGCTGGGGCAGCACAGGGAAGTGAAAGTCTCTGCTTGAAGACCAAACCACCGCTGTGGTGAAACCTCACAAACTCAATTCCCACCTGCAGGGAGGGCAGGAATGAGTAAGAAAATTGGTTTTTTTCAGGCTCCTATGAGGCTGAGCCACCTCTTGGCAAGGGCAGGAACCCCCAGGCAGGTGAATCATTCATTGCTCTCTGCCCCGACCTCAACTTTTCCTTTTTAACCCATTCCTCTCTAATGAACATTTTCTCCAGAACCTATAAATAACTAATTCCAATTGCTTATTGACCAAGTGGTCATTTAGTGGCTATTGCAGCACCCAGCTCATTCCAGGCTGTTTCCCACGGCCAGGGATGGGTGATGAGGGATGAGTCACGCTGGGGAAACCTTCACTCATTTTACACTGCAGAAACTGGTTAATTGAGGCTGTTCCATGCTCAAAACCCTGCAGGGTTTGATTTTATTTCAGTTCCAAAAACAGCAGAACTGAAAGCAGAAGCATGAACACGCAGGTCAGGCGGAAACCTGAACCCCCAACATCTGCTGAGCCCAGGGCAAGGATTTGTTTCGCCCCACGTGCTCCTCCCACCTCTTGCAGACGTTTTCCATGGATTTCACGTTTCCTTGGCATTCCTCCGGCTCCAGGGATTAAATCATTATTCCAAACCCACAGGAAAACAGAGATGGCACCCAGACCAGCGTGGAATCCCAGAGAAAAGAGGTCCCAAGACCACCAAATCCAGCCTCTGCCTGATGGCCACCTTCTCACCCAGCCCAGAGCACTGAGTGCCACCTCCAGGCCTTCCTCGGACACCTCCAGGGATGGTGGCTCCAAACCGCCCTGGGCAGCCCTTTCCAAGGCCTGACCACCCTTTCCATGGGGAAATTCCTCCTGACGTCCCTCCTGAGCCTCCTTTTCTCCCAGCTGAGCCCCCCCAGCTCCCCCAGACCCTTTTCCTGTTGCCCCAGCCCCTTCCCCTGTTCTGTTCCTTTCTCTGCCACACTCCAACCCCTCAATGCCCCTCTTGCCCACCGACCCAGCCCATTTAATGCAGCAGTGACTGAAAACATCCAGGACTGCTCATTTGGCTTGAAACACCACTTTTATTGTCTTGCTGGAGGACGAAGCAGCAAAGCAAGAAGGGAACCATTCCCAGCGTTGGCAGAGGAAAAATAAACATCTCAGAGCTCCTCAAACCGAGAGGTTTCATCCTAAAACTGCATCACCTCCGGCGGTTTTAGAAGCTTTTTCTTGGAGAGAAGTGGCAAAGCTGCGGAGCCACGAGCACTGGGACGAGCTGGAAGCTGTGGACGAGGGGCAAACCGATGCATCCAGGGGCTGGATCCTGCCCTCAGTACTTGGGGTAGGAGGGTGGCAGCTTGCAGATGTTCTTGGTGACCTGGGGGCAGACTGGGGGGCAGTAACGCTGCATTGGGGGGCAGTAACGCTGCACGGGGGGGCAGTAACGCTGCACGGGGGGATAGCAGGGCTGCACCGGGGGGCAGCAGGGTGTCACGTAGCTGAACTTCTGCACGGGCTGCCTCTGGATGGTGTAGTGGCACGAGGGCCCTGAGTCGTGGCAGGAGGAGCGGGATCCGTGGCAGGAGGACTCGTAGTCGTGGCAGGAGCCGCGGGAGCACATTGTGCTGGAGTTGTGGCCGAGCTGTTTGGAGCAAGGGATCAATGTGGTGAGAGGAGGCCCTGATTCTTTTCTTATATTCCCCCCGCTTTTCTTTTTAATAATATTTTTTCTTATGTCTCCTGTGAACTGTTTCTCTCCTTTTTTCACCTGCCAAATCCGGACCCAAAACCCCCTCGATCCCGCCGGGTCTGCTGGAAATGCTCTGGGAATTGGGGTGTGAAATGAGGTCCCTGTGAGTCAATTGGAGCCCCAGGAGTCCACCTGCCAAGCCCCAGCTCCAGCAGAATTTGTGCCACCCGAGGATCCCTCTGGGGGCTGCACCTTTTCCATAATTCCTGTGAATCCTCGTCCTCCATCCGCCATCCCCCACCCCTCCCTCCCTCAGCACAAACAGGAGGCACTTCCCTAAATCCCAACTCCCACAAAACCCGTAAAAACCCCTTGTGGAGGTTTTAAGAACAGAAATGGCCAAGTTGGTCTTACCCTGTTCAGCTGTAGCGAGAAGATTCTGGAAGCGAAGGCGAGCGACTGTGGAGGACGGGGCTGAGGGGCCTTTTATCCTCTCCTGAGGTTATTTGGGGTGTGAGGCACCTCGTCACGATGACACCTTAATTAATTCCGTGCTCAATCCCGCAGATGTTTGCACATCCCCTGATTTTAGGTGTTCCCTCCTTGACGCCCCGTCCCGCCGGTGATTCCTACAGCAGGGATTTTGGAAGGGCAGCCCTCTCCCATTTCCTGGAGGCTGACGGGTGTTAATTAGGGATGAGGGACACCTGGGATTGCATCAGGCACAGAAAGGCCTCAGAAACGCTGACTCCTGGGGTTGGTGCCTCGTTGGGTGCAGGTGACAGCTCAGGGTTTTAATTCCCCTGTTGTTGAGTGCCAAGAGGAAATGGGATTAGCGCCTGCAATTCCCGGGGATGGCACAACGCCGGAAAATCCGGCGGGATCTCCTCGGCTCCCTGGGATGGCAAGAAATAAAATGTTCCTGGTTCTTCACGTGTCCTTCAACTTGGCAGATGACTGGGATGATCCCATCAGGTTGTTCCACGTGAATCACAGGTTATTAAAGAGAAAAACACCTGACCCTGAGCTCTGTATGAGGTTTGAGGATATTACATTTTCCCGTTCCTTGGTTTCTGTCTCCTTCCGTGATCCCTCACATTTTTTTTCACCTGACCTCACCTAAGGATTCAGAGAAGAGGAGCTGAAGTTTGGGCAAGTGTTGGGTTTTGTCACTCCTGGTTTGGGCACTAAAACTGGATTTATGGACCTGTTTGACTCAGAGTTTGAAGCGTAAGAAAATGAAACTCCTCAACCCGGGAAAATGTTGCCCATTAGAACAATTCACTGACTGGGAAGGGAAGATCTCCCAAACTAGGGGTGTCCTGTTCCCCAGGGCAAAGGCAGCCGGTTCCTCGTGGGGAGTTTTGTGGAGCAAGGGAGGATGGCAGGAATTCCTCAGGGACATTTGGTGGCTCAGGTGAGGGTCCCTCAGCAGCCACCCAGGTGACAAAGTGGCAGCTTTGTGTGACAGTTCTCCTTTTGCCCACATTCGTGCTCCCCAACATCTTTCTGCCTCCTCAAGAGCCTTCCAAAAACACCCAAAAAAACATCTCCGAACCTTTCAAATTCAGGGCCTGCTCAAGAAAACGGGATGTCAGAAGAGTTCCCATCCTCCTTTGCTCACAGTTCTTTCGCAGGAATTTGGGCCTTCTGTTTTCAGAGGCTCAAAGGCTTTCAAATATTTGAAAATTTATATCCAAGGTCTGAAATGGAGCTCGGAGAAAGTTATTACATGTTGAGAAGTTGCAATGTGACCTTCTTATTCCCCTTCCATTTCCTGGAATCACTGAGGTGGGAAAACCCCTCTGAGATCATGGAGCCCAATCTTTTACCATCTCCCCCTTTCCTTCACTGACTTCCATCCATTCCCAAATGAACGTGGGAATTATTTGCCACCAAATTTTGGGATACTTTGGAAATACAAAGAAATTTGAATTGGAAACCTCTGAAAAAATTACCAAAAAAATCAAGGAAAACGAGAATAAAAGAATTCAAAGGCAACGAGGGTCTCATGAATCAGATTTATTATTTCCCACACCCAGATGAGTCTGAACCAGAAGCGCAAGACAGAGAAAGATTCCCAACAAATAATTACACCCTGAAGAATTAGAAAAGGACATTTCCAGAATAATTAGCAAGAATGACACCATCAATGTTAATTAGGGGGGAGCATTTCCCCCCCGCACCGTGGAGATCCAGGGGTTTCAGCGTGGACGAGCCGAGCCGAGGTCGGGGTGCCCAAGGGAGGAGCCGGCGGCTCCGGCTGCCGGGGCTGGATCCTGTTCAGTACTTGGGGCACGCCGGTGGAAGGCTCCAGATGTTCTTGGTGTACTGGTGGCAGTAGGGCACCTGGGGACAGCAGGGGACAGCGGGGGGACAGTAGCGCTGCACGGGGGGACAGCAGGGGACAGCGGGGGGACAGTAGCGCTGCACGGGGGGACAGCAGGGCGTCACGTAGGTGCATTTCTGCACCGGCTGCCTCTGGACGTAGCGGCAGGAGGGCTCGGGCTCGTGGCAGGAGGAGCGGGATCTGTGGCAGGAGAACCAGGACCTGAGGCAGGAGGAGCGGGACCCGTGGCAGGAGGACTCGTAGTCGTGGCAGGAGCTGCGGGAGCACATCGTGCTGGAGTTTCGGCAGAGCTGGAGGGAAGAGAGAGATGGTCAGGCTGGGACAGCTGCCCCCTCCTTGGCTCTTCTTCAGGACTGGGATGGGAAATGTTGTTTCCCTCTGTTTTGGGACGTACAGGACATGGTGACCCTTCCTTTTGGACAACACTCCATGATGGTGCGGCTCTGATGGGAATTTCCCTCCCAAGATGCTCCTGTTGGCTTTTCAGGGTAGAATTTCCCTCTAAAACTGCTCTGAATTGTCCAAGCTCTCTCTGCCTCCATCACCTGGGAGTGAATTCCTTGCTGGCCCCCAAAGGCTCCCACATCTGCTCCTTCAATTGCTCCTGCTTTTCTGCCATCCCACCCGCGAGCAAACCTTGTGCCTGTTCAAACACCCAGCCATCAAAAATAAGGAATTTCTAAGACAAAGGCAAAGTCCAAACACAGAACTCTGCGAACAACTGCTGCTCAAGAGTAGATAAATCAACATAATCCAACTCACCCTTGGCTGGAGCAAGAGGAAGAGCTCGTGGAGCTGGTGCTGAGTGAAGGATGGACAGGGGATGCCGGACTTTTATATCTCCCAAATGGTTGTTGTGGGAATTAGACACCTCTTGGCAATGCTGACACAAACCCTCATATTCATATTTATCTCCTGTGTCTCGTTTTTAGCATTTCCGACTTGACGCAGTAAGGGAAAAAAACCCAACGATGGCTTTTTCCTCAGCACTTTAATAAGTAAGGAATTTCCCAATCTGCTTAGAAGGGAATTTTTGAGGCAGTTGCATATTCCCGTGGCAAAAATGAACCTATCCCTGGAGTTATTAAGTGATTTGTCGTTGGGCAACCGGGATTGCATCAGCTCCGGAGGGTTGACTCCTTCCCCGCGTGCTGCCCCTGGTTCTCCGTGGCAGAGTCACTTTTTTGATTGATAGGTTTTTTTCCCCTGACACAAGGGGCTGTAATTAAGAGGAGCCACAGCTCCCAGGGACTTCATTAGAGGGAGGTCCTGGTGACTACCTGGGACCCGACGCCTCGACTCCGGAGGTGACGCCAGAACGACGTCCCCAGTCCCAATTTTTTCCGTTCCGTTTGCCAACCATCAGCTGTTTTTTTGTTTTGTGCCACGGTATTTTCCTCCTGGATGGAGGGAGCTTCAAATCCTCAGCAGGAAGGGTTTGTCTGAGGGTTTTGCCTCTTGCCAACCCCTTGTTTCTGCGGGGTCTCATTTAATTTAAGCAGTTTTAAAATTTTTTATTCTTTCCCGCGTTTCGCTCTTTGGTCCCAAGTTTGTCTCAGAGCAGCCCAAGGTTTTAGGAGAATAAATTGGGCAATTGTCCCTTTCCTGTGACTTTTATATAGGTGAGAGCCACAGGAACAACTCAGGGGTCAGGGAATGAGGTGATCTTCAGGGTCACTCCCCACCCAAACTATTTTACGATTCTATGAATCTTTTTATTAATTTGTCAGACCGTGGTTCAGAAACCAAACAGCTTTTAGGAAAATCTTTTAGAGCTTAGGAAAATCTGAAGCCTTCTGGAAGCTGCTGTGACGTAGAAACGCTTCATGTGGGTGGACAAAACTCATTTTTGGGGTAGGCCCTTGAGTCAATCCTCCGTCAGGCGGGAGGAATCCACGGAATCAGGGAATCGTGGAGTGACTTGGGTTGGAAGGGACATTAAAGATCGTCTCACCCAACTCCCAGGGTTATTAACTCCAGCTGAGTCTGGCTGCTGAGCTCTTGGGGAAGCTGATGCAGCCACAGAGCCTGTTCTGGAACTGGTGGCTCAGCTGGACTGGGAGATAAGGAAAGTCTGAGGTTGTCAAAAGCCCAGAGAGATTTCACACGTATTTTAAGTGCCTGCAATGGTCGCTGAAAACAGTAATTTGGAGCTCAGTGAAAGAAGGAGGGCTAGGAAAAGCCACCAGGTGCTTGTTTGCGTTTATCAGACACCTCAAAATGTTTGTGACTCTGAGTCAAAGGGACGAACGAGGTGTGAGGAGCTGCTGAGGAGGGGACTCAGTTCCCATGGTCTGGATGGGGAGGGACCTTAAAGATCTCCAGTGCCACCCCTGCCATGGGCAGGGACCCCTCCCACTGTCCCAGGGTGCTCCAAAATCCATCCAGCCTGGCCTTGGAAACTTCCAGGTATCCATGGAATCACCTGTGCCACCCTCCTGTGAGCAATTCCTTCTGCATATAAATGAATAAATACCTATTCTGTGCATCAATATGTGAATAAAAAAGGGTGCAGGTGAGCTCCCTGAGCCTTCAGCTGCTCCAGGAATGCTTCTGGAATTGCCGGCTTTTATTATTTTGAAATTTCAGGGGCATTTTGTGATCAGCTTGAGGAGAAAAGTGGTGACTAAGAAGTCAAAGGTAACAATCATTTGGAATAAAAAAGGTCAAAGAATAAACAGACCATGAACTTCTCTTACTTTTGGAAATCAAATTTTATTGTTTTGGAGGCTGTCAGATGGGTGGAAAGCAGCAGGAATCATTCCCAGCTTCATGGGAAGCAACCTGAGCTGGGTCTTGCGTGCTGAGCAAATTAAACCAAATTAGAGCAAAACCAGGAACCCAATTCTAATCACAGACGAGGAATTCAAGGATCAAATTAAAAATGGGAATAAGGAACCATTGGCTGAAGCTTCAGGCATGGAGAGCACCCAAAGCAGGAGCCATCCAGGGTGCCCTCAGTACTTAAACCAAATTAGAGCAAAACCAGGAACCCAATTCTAATCACAGACGAGGAATTCAAGGATCAAATTAAAAATGGGAATAAGGAACCATTGGCTGAAGCTTCAGGCATGGAGAGCACCCAAAGCAGGAGCCATCCAGGGTGCCCTCAGTACTTAAACCAAATTAGAGCAAAACCAGGAACCCAATTCTAATCACAGACGAGGAATTCAAGGATCAAATTAAAAATGGGAATAAGGGACCATTGATTGAAGCTTCAGGCATGGAGAGCCCCCAAAGCAGGAGCCATCCAGGGTGCCCTCAGTACTTGGGGTAGGATGGGGGCAGCTTGCAGATGTTCTTGGTGACCTGGGGGCAGACTGGGGGGCAGTAACGCTGCACTGGGGGGCAGCAGGGCTGCACCGGGGGGCAGTAACGCTGCACGGGGGGGCAGTAACGCTGCATTGGGGGGCAGCAGGGCTGCACCGGGGGGCAGCAGGGCGTCACGTAGCTGAACTTCTGCACGGGCTGCCTCTGGATGGTGTAGTGGCACGAGGCCCCCGAGTCGTGGCAGGACGAGGAGCGGGACTCATGGCAGGAGGTCTCGTGGCTGTGGCAGGAGCCGCGGGAGCACATCGCGCTGGAGAGGTGGCGGAGCTGGAGGGGAGAGAGGAACGGTCACAGCCAGCAAGGAGCTTATAGATATTTGTTCTGGGATTCCCCATTTTTCTTCCTAATTTCCAGTTCTTCGGGGGTGAGAAAGCGGGGGTCAGTGTTGTTGGGAGATGCTTTTAATGCCTGGCTAAACCCTCAGAAACTTTTATGGGTGGGACTTGATTTCCAGAGAGAAATTGGTCCAAACATCAATTTCCCATGAGCAAAATTGGTCCAAACATCAATTTCCCAAGAGCAGCTCCAGACCCTCTGGTTCCTCCTGCTTGGAAACCTCCAAGCCCCTTTTCCACAAACCCCTCTGTCTTTATTTTCTGCCCTTTCTGTTATTTTGGTTTGCCTTGAGCCTCTGCTCAAAGCCTTTATTTTAATTTGTTTTAATTGTTTGCTCTTGTGGGTAACAAGAACTTGGTCTCCAGCATGATCCAGATCCAGAGGTGAGGAGGGAGTGTCCCACTCTCCAATTCTACCCAAACTCATGGAAAAACTTCCAGTTTCCTTAAAGAAACTCCGGGGGAAGAGAAAAAATCGGACTCACCCTTCCAGTAGTGGGGATGGAGCTGTTTTGGAGCAGAGCAGTGAGTGAAGGAAACTGGGATGGGAAACCTTTTATACTTTTCCACGGGTTTATCTGGGACATGAGGCATCCCTAATTACAGATCCCATTTCTATCCGCTGTGTTCAGCTTCCCGTATTTTCCCTTTGATGCTCTGTGCTTTTAGTACTGTAATTATTAATAGCTCATTAATTCCTTCACCTCCCTATGAACGAGATTGGAAGGAATTTTCACGGGAAGTGACCAATGGATCTGCTCATGGACAACGTGGATCAGGCAGAAGAGGTGTTTGTAATCCCAAATTCCTCAGGGTCACCTGGACCAGGAGCTCTCCACGTGCTCGACCTCCATGTGAAAAAATAATTATTGATGTTAATCCCTGGGGATTAGGTTTAGGGCAGGAATTCTGCAGGGGAATTGCACAATGGGGCCGGATATCTCGATGAGAGGTTTGTGTTAGCCCAAATCTGTCCTTCAGTGATCATTCCAACCTGCCTGTGGCCCAGCAAGGATTTCTCCTCCAGGTGTCCACCAGGGTGGGTTCCTGTCCATGGGGCCCACGGGTTCTGCCACCAAACCTGCCCCAGAGTGGGTTCCTGTCCATGGGGCCCACGGGTTCTGCCACCAAACCTGCCCCAGAGTGGGTTCCTGTCCATGGCCCCACAGGTTCTGCCCCAGAGTGGGTTCCTGTCCATGGCCCCACAGGTTCTGCCCCAGAGTGGGTTCCTGTCCATGGTCCACAGGTTCTGCCACCAAACCTACCCCAGGGTGGGTTCCTGCCCATGGTCCACAGGTTCTGCCACCTCTGTGGATCCCCATCCACCAAAACCTGGCCGAGCAAACCCAGCCTGAGGCTTCAGGTGCTGTTTCAGTCTGGTTTTGCACCCCAGCGTGGTGTTGGGGGCAGTGGTATCAAATGCCAGGACAGGATGGTTTGGGGTGAGCAGAATCCCGGTTTTCCGGAATCACTGATGTTGGAAAAGATCTCCAAGACCACTGAGCCCAACATTTGACCAACCCCCACCTGGTCGAGCACTGAGAGCACTCAGTGCCATGTCCAGGAGTTCCTTGGGCACCTCCAGGATGGCCCAAACCCTCCCAGAGTGGTTTTGGTAATTTTTGGTTATTTTGGTTATTTTATTTTATATTTGGTTATTTTATTTTATATTATTTTATATTTGGTTATTTTCTCTTCTGATTTTTACCCAGAATTTTTTTGTTTTATCCAGGACAGAGTGCTGCTGTTGCTGCCCTGCTTCCAACACTTCTAGAATGATCTCAGGGATGATGAGACAGGGATGGAGACACGAACACAACAATGTGATGCAGGAGACACTTCAGAACCTGGATTTTCCCGTGAATCACGGGTGAACTTTGGTCTCCCATGCCTGGGTACAAGTCATGCCCATCCGACCCATCAATTACGTCTTCTTGTCCCATAAAAGGCAGGAATGTGTCAACACTGGGATGGCACCGGGGATTAGGAACGAGGCACGAGGGATTTGGGGTGATGCTGTGCTGACTCACCGGGATCCCTCAGACTGGAGCGCTCACGGCTGAGCTGTGTTCCCCTGGTGCACGGAACCGACCCAGGACTCCTCCCTGAGAGGTTTGGGTCAGGCTGTGGTCAGGAAGAACTTCTGGGATTTTTGGGCACGTGTGGGAGGAGATTTGCTGTCACCTGGGAGAGGTGAGGAGGGAAAAACGGGAAAAAAAAAAAGGGTGACAGATGTAAGTATCAGGAAGTGGGGCAGGAAACAGAAATGACTGAGGTCATGAGATGGCAAAGGCCTCATTCTCCAGGGGTGGCTCACTGTGGAAGCTTCCAGGTCTATGAGGTGTGGGATGAGCTCCATGAGGTGTGGGATGAGCAGCTGGAACTCCAGGAAGTGTGGGATGAGCTCTATGAGGTATGGGATGAGCTCCATGAGGTGTGGGATGAGCTCCAGGAGATGTGGGATGAACTCCATGAGCTCTGGGATGAGCTCCATGAGGTGTGGGATGAGCTCCAAGAGGTGTCGGATGAGCTCCATGAGGTGTGGGATGAGCTCCAAGAGGTGCAGGATGAGCTCCAAGAGGTGTGGGATGAACTCCATGAGGTGTGGGATGAGCTCCATGAGGTCTGGGATGAGCTCCGTGAGCTCTGGGATGAGCTCCAAGAGGTGTGGGATGAGCTCTATGTGGTGGGATGAACTCCATGAGCTCTGGGATGAGCTCCATGAGGTTTGGGATGAGCTCCATGAGGTGTGGGATGAGCACTGCCACTCCCTGTGGTTGACTGAGGAGGTTTCACCAACAGCCTGGACCATTTACAGGGAATTTTCCGTGTTTGCGCACCTGACTTGGCTCTGCCTGCACCCACCTGTGCTTGCTGCAAACACTGCAAGGTGGAGAGGCCTTTTTTTTATCCCTGGGGAATTTCTCCACAGGGGTTGGTTCAGCACCTTCGCTGCTGCGGGAGGAGAAGGTGGGGACAATTTCCTGCTGGATTCCTGCAGCTTTTCCTGCTTCCCTCCACAGATGTGTGTGGAGATAACACCACTCCAGCTCTCCAGGGAGAGATTCCCTGTCTCTGCTCCTCAGGCCCTTCCCAAATCTTTCCTTCCATGGAGTGGCACAGCCTGGGTGGCTCCGGCTCAGCCGGGAGCGTAGGTGAAACCTTGGATTGCTTGGAAAGGATTCACCCAGGAGATTTTTATCTGCCCTTCCCACAAAGGCAGACCCAAACCCAGCCTGGAGCCGCTGGTCTGGCTGGGTTGGCACAGGCTGGGTGAGGGGGAACAGGGATTGGCATCCCTGGATGTCCCCAAGCCATGCTGGAGCCTGTTCCCGACCCCGACGTTCATTCCCTGCCCCTGCAATCACACCTGGCATTGAGGCTCCTTGTTATTTTAATTAAGAGCAGTAATAAAACAACCGCTAATAGCACCTTTCTAGTTCCTTTCAAAGGTTCATCATGAACCTTTGGCTAATTAAATGTCTTGTGCATTACACACAGTGCTGCTCTCATCCCACAGAGCCCCAAACCCCACAGAAATCAGCCTGGTGCAGTGAGAAATCCAACTGCAGATCTAAAAATCCTCTTTTCCCCTTTCACACCTACAAGGGGAGCTCAGAACTTTCATGGTTTAAGTCAGTTTAAACCTCTGGAGGAAAGGGAATGTTTTCTTCTCACTCATGAGGGGCATTGAGGGGTTGGAGTGTGGCAGAGAGGGGAACAGAACTGGGGAAGGGGCTGGGGCAGCAGGAGAAGGGGCTGGAGAACTCCCAGGGGGGCTCAGCTGGGAGAAAAGGAGGCTCAGGGAGGACATCAGGAGGAATTTCCCCATGGAAAGCATGGTCAGGCCTTGGAAAGGGCTGCCCAGGGAGGTTTGGAGCCACCATCCCTGGAGGTGTCCGAGGAAAGCCTGGAGGTGGCACTCAGTGCCCTGGGCTGGGTGAGAAGGTGGCATCAGGCACAGGTTGGACTCAAAGGTCTCGGAGAGCTTTTCCACCCTCAGTTCCTCTGGGATTCTGGGATTTCCTCCAGGGAGCACAGATTTTCAAAGCAGGGAGAGTTCCCTCGCAGAAAAGACCAATCTAACCCGAAATTCTCCATTTTATAGGGGTCAGAAGGGACACTGAGCATGACATGGTCCTTCCTCTGCTCATGTCCTCCTCTTTAGGGAGAGCAGGGATTTCCAGATTTCCTGGACAGAGCTCTGTGCTCACCAGCCATGAACAAACTGCAAACCCTTCACAACGTGCCCGTGAGGGTCTGAGGCTCCGAGCCAAGGGCCGGGGTTGCAGAGACGCTGATCTGCACCTTCAGCCCCAGACAGCTTTTGAAATCAGCCTGGCAGGCACCCAAAGTGTGGGGACTGCAGGGCTGAGCCTCTGGAATGCCACGGGAAAAGGGAGGGAGCTGTGGAAAGCAGCTCCCCTCAGCCCAGACAGGCTGGGCAACGATGCCAAAGATAAAGGAAAAGCAGTGGAAAAACACCAGGACGCCAGCAGGTTGGATGAGCTTTTAGGCTTTAATTCAACATCAGACCTTTGCTACTGGAGACAGGAGCAGGGAACGAAGAACAAATCCCAATTCCACCGCGCTAATGCCACTCGGGGGTTCTCAGGAGGAGGGGAAAGGGCTGCAGGGATGAGGCAGGGCCTGCCCAAGCTCAGGGGCAGGGAGCAGCTCTGAGCTTTTTCACTTCTGCTGCTGCTGCGGCGGCCACTGCACCGGCTGCTTGATCTGCTGCTGCTGCTGCTGGCACGGGACCTGGGCCAGGGGCACCTGCCCGGTGCCCGCCGGGCACTGCGGGGTCAGCACCACCACGGGGGTGACGTCGGGCACCGGGGTCACCTCGTGGCACACCAGCCCCTCGGAGCCGTGGCAGGAGCGGTCGCTGTCGTGGCAGGAGGAGCTGCC